TGGAGGGATGAAGAAAGAGAGGAAAACCATCGATGAGATGGATTGATACAGTGATTAGAGTAATGAGGGTAGATGTGTCAGAGACAGTGACATTGGCACAGGATAGAACATGTTTCAGGGCTGCTGTACATAGCGCTGTTATGAGTCGCAAACAACTCAACAACACATAACAACAACACTCATACATGTCACCGAGATCCTTAGAATACACTATTTACAGCATATTCTGTTGTGCAAAGGTGGTTGTTGTTGATTGCCTTCGAGTCAAGCATGACCCATAGCAACCCTATGAACAAAAGGCCTGAAGCCTCTCTAAAACTACTGACATTTATAAAAATTCATAGAGTTTCTGGAGGCATGTTGTTTAGGAAGTCAATGCCAAAATCAACCAATCCATTGCTAGTCAAGGCATTTATATTCTGGTAAGAAGATAAATAACTATAGCAGTATAATTTTTCACACGAGGGCAGTGGGAGTTCAACAGAATTTTTACCCTTAATGTGAAAGACTGACACTGATTGCATTCAGTGCACCACAGGCACATGCAGCACCCCGCTGTCAGTGGAGCCTGCATGCTGCAAAGATGTGGAACATGGTATCAGTAAAGCATCTGGACTAGGATGATGAGAAAGTCAGGCCTGGTGGTCTGCTTCTGAAAACTGGCCTCTAAATATCTTTGATCACAAGTCTGACCCACAGAAGATCATGCAGAGGGCACTGGGCAGGGCAGCAGTTCAGAGTCAGAGCCACGTTAACAGCAGCAAAAAGTGTCACTGATTACACACCACCTGTGAGTCACACCTTCAGCTATACTCTTTATAAATAGATCTAATTTTATTGAATCTTCCTCACAAAGTGTTTCTGAGGTTTAGAGATGACAACCTTTCCTTTTCTACTCCCAGGACTTAGTGGATCTGGGTATGAACACAGGTACACAAAACTCCACAGCCCTTTACCATAAGATTATATGACTTGCTCCCATGCAGAGGCTACCCTGAATGTTGCTTTTCAGGAGAAAAGCCAAGATTCACCTGGCTCATTTTTCCTAATCATGGTGTTAACTCTGCACTTGAAATTCAATGTACCCATTAACAGGTGGATATATCTCAGCAGACATCTGAGGCTAGAAAGGAGATGTTAGCCAAGGTGGACTCCAGGAGCCTAGGACCCTATGACCTTGGTGGTACCTGTGAAAGCATGCCAACCAATTCCTCTGAATAGTGAGGATTTCCTTTATCATTCACACTGTGTATGCAGGCTGCAAATAAATGATCTTATGTGATATCTCAATTTTTCTTTTTATGAGCAAAAAGATATGACTCTGGTTTTAAGCCAAATGGAAATTTTAATTGATGGGGAAGCCTCATAGAAATATTTTGGTTTGAGAGTAACTCAACCAGGTGCCTAAGAAAGTACTGAAAATTCTTGCCTGAAATTTCTGAGAAACAATAAAACAAGTTGATCCTGGCCAATGAATTGTTAATAGTTTTCCCCTAAGTATTTATTAATTTACCAAACAAATTGTTGAGAATAAAAGCAGCAGGCATATAATTTTTTAAGTGAGCTGTGATTTATATCTGTTTTATACAGCTGTTCCTGCTATTTGATCCTGGGCAAAGTGACTAAACCAAACCTCAAATTTCCAAAAGAATCATACTGAGTCATAAATAGAGACAATATAGACATAACTGAAATTCTAAGGGATTAATACGCCATCTTTTGTGGTCTTTCTTGAAGAACAAATCTCTCCCTTCTATGGCACTATATAAAACATTTAACACCTATTTAGTCATAAAGAAATGAAACTGCAGAACTGAGACCCCTGAGAGGTCGTTCGGCTCAAAGTTCTATTTTGTAAATGGAAACATTGGAGATACTTATTCGTTATTTTATCATTTGCCCTAATGACTTGCCTCCTGCCATTAGAGCAAATTATATGGAGAATTAAACTCTATGTGAAAACTCCACAACTCAACTCATTGATGCTGGGCCAGAACTGAGTTTTCAGAGGCTATAAATCACATGCGAGAGATTGCCTATTTTTCCCTTATGGAGCAGCTGCTGGCTTTGAACCATTTGCTTCTGGGTTGGCAGGGAAACACCTTATCCACTAGGCTACCCACACTCTTAGAGTGGTGGTCAAGAGTGGAGGCTCTCTTGTCATTTCCTGTCTGGGGTTCCAGCACTGGCACTTGTTGTTGGGAGCCATGAAGTCAATCAATTCTGACTGGTGGCAGCCCATGTAACATAGCAGAACTCTCTCAGAGGGTCTCCTTGGCTGTAACCTTCAGACAAGCAGATCACCAGAATTTTCTGTGAAGTGGCCAATGGGTTTGAATCACCAACCTTTCTATCAGCAGCCAGAGCGCTTAACTACTGTACTATCAGGGCTGCTTTAATACTTAAAATGAAAGCCTGAACACACAATTGAACTTTTCTGTTACTCATATGCAAAAAAGAGAACTGTAAGAGTGCTTAAAATGTGTGACTGTTAGAATGATGAAATAATACACGTAAAGCTTGGCACATAGCAAGTGATCAGTGAAAGAAAGCTGTTACTAATATTTTCATAAATGATCCAGAGTTGATGCCTATTTTAGGGAGTATTAGAAGAAGCATCTCTTCTTCTGGCCCAAATCAGAGCTAGATTCCTGACACCCCCCCCCCCACCTCGAAATGATCAACAACAAACTTGGTGCTCAGGGACCATTTTATGGGTGGAGTCTCCACAGCCTCTTGTGAGCATAAGAGACTTCGACCCGGTAATCATTGTTAGAAACCACTGGCTACCATATTTCTAATTTCATGAGAAAAAGAAACTCACATTAACTTTCCCTAATATTTTAAAAATGAATTCTTAGCAAATATACACCTCCTCCCCAAATCTATTTCTTTCCCCTAATAAGTATTTACATCTGCTGGTGATCTGCTGGAACTACATTGGAACATGTATCTCTTTGGATTGGAAATTATTCACACAATCTTATTGAAAAGATTATATTGTTATAAATTTTCATATATTTGTTTAAATTTTCCCCTCTTTTAACAACTAGGATCTAGAGGGAAGAGAAAAGACCAGAGAATGGCCAAAACTTGCCCCAGGCCATTCAGGAGGCCCAGTGCAGGTCCTTGTTGACTGTCACTAGATGAACAAATTATGTTCAAGGCCTGCGCTTTTCTAAGTGTGGCTGATAGACCAGCAGCATCTTTACAACCTGAGCATGTGTCACAAATGCAGAATCTCTGGCTGTAACTCATACCTGCTTCTAATCTCCAGTGATTTGTGTACACATTGAATTTCAAGATTCCAGACTAAACTTCCACCTTCCTCTGTGTCATTCCTTTAAAATACTGCTGCCACACTCATGTTTCTCAAAGACAGCTCCAACCAGACCACTCAAGAACCATATAGGGTCCCTGATGAATGATTATTAGCTTGCCAATCAATACTTTCCATCATGTGACACTGTTTTGGGAACACCTTCAGTATGCCTTCCACATGTTGTTGTTGATGTGCACCACTACTTAAAACTGACTCACAGCTGACCCTCCAATGGATTTACAGAAGCAGTCAATCACACCAGAGGAGAGTACTCATATCTCTTCCGTAAGGTTGCTGGTAATTCGAACCGTGTGCCTTCCAGTTGGCAGCCCAGCTTCTTACTGGGCTAGTTGAGTTTGCTATGTGTGTAGTAGGTGCATAATAAAACTTCTCTGCATAGAAAGAAAAAAGAGATTCTCTGGGAAACAACATATTCCTTAATTCTAGCTTTATACTCTGTTATTCACTAGGGATAAAGTGACAGAAGGGCCGGAAGGTCTCCTGCTATAAGTCTAGATGATGGGTAGGATTTAAAAAGGAGAAAATAAGATGTGATGAAAAATGGTAAGTGCTAAGAAAGACATGAACAGAGGGCAGCAACAGATTTAAGATTAAAAGCTCAGCTTGCTGAGGCAAGGCTGAGTTGGGCTGGGGCGAGCGCTCCAGGTGGAGTTCATCCTCTGAGGCCTTTAAGAGAAAAGGCTGGATTTCACTGCTTCCCAACAGGGATCATGGTGCGCACACAAGTCATGATGCAGTACAGCCCAGAAAATCAGAGATCATGAATTAGCCGAGTTCTCAGCCCCCTTGACCTCCGCGTCTGTTTTCATAGGCACGAAGTGCAATTAAGAATAGCACCAACTTTGCAGCTATAATGAACACTGAGGGGAAATAAGGCTCTTAATGCTCCCTAATACAGCACCACCCACATTAGTGTTCTCCTGGGGACTAGAGGGTTTAGTGCAATTATCATCATGAATTGCCAATGATTATTATTAATAGCTCTCCACAGTCCTGCCCGTATCCCTTTCTGGCCTCCAAATCCCACCAACTGAGGCCCTCTCCTCGCGCGAACCGCCTCTGTAACCCCCGCGCGGGCGTTGCGACTCTGTCGCCAGACCCTGTTTACCTGGGGCTAAATGCGACTTGTCACCGCCTTGCTTCATGGGCTCTGCCTCCCTCCCGCCGCTTCTCGGCCCCGCAGCGGCTGCGGCGGCGCCTCTAGCACTGCCTGGCCGGCGCACAGGATGCCTCGGTGGAGCTGGCGGCTGCCACGCTGCGCGCTCTGGCAGAGGGGAGGGGGCTTGGTGGTGGTGGCGGCGGCGGCAGCAGCAGGCCGGGCGGGGGACAGAGGCACGAGGCGCGGCAGCGGCGACGACGGAGGAGGGGAATGCGGGGGTCTGCGGGAGGCGCCGCGGCCCAGTCCGCACTGAAGCCCGCGGCACCCTGGACGCGGGGAGTGGCCGTCGCCTCCTGCGCGCACCATTCCTGAGATGGCGGCGGCGGCGGCGCAGCGGCGTTCTGGAGCGCCGAGGAGGGGCTGTGCGAGCACCGGCTGAGCGCCGCTGCCTGCACTCTGGGCCGGGCCGCGGGGCCGCAGAACCGGTCCAGGCGGCTGGTGGGAGCGGTGAGGTCGGCGGCGGTCCCGGCGCGGAGCGCACGGCCCAGGGAGGCCGCGATGGCGAACGCCAGCGAGTCGGGCGGCGGCGGCGGTGGCGGCGGCGAGGCAGCGGCTCTGGGCCTCAAGCTGGCCACGCTCAGCCTGCTGCTGTGCGTGAGCCTGGCGGGCAACGTGCTGTTTGCGCTTCTCATCGTCCGGGAGCGCAGCCTGCACCGCGCGCCCTACTACCTGCTGCTCGACCTGTGCTTGGCCGACGGGCTGCGCGCGCTCGCCTGCCTCCCGGCCGTCATGCTGGCAGCGCGGCGGGCGGCTGCCGCGGCGGGAGCGCCGCCGGGAGCGTTGGGCTGTAAGCTGCTAGCCTTCCTGGCCGCGCTTTTCTGCTTCCACGCAGCCTTCCTGCTGCTCGGCGTGGGTGTCACCCGCTATCTGGCCATAGCGCACCACCGCTTCTATGCTGAGCGCCTGGCAGGCTGGCCTTGCGCCGCCATGCTGGTGTGCGCCGCCTGGGCACTGGCGCTGGCTGCGGCCTTCCCGCCTGTGCTGGACGGCGGCGGCAGTGGTGACGATGAGGACGCGCCATGCGCCCTGGAGCAGCGGCCGGACGGCGCCCCAGGGGCTCTCGGCTTCCTGCTGCTGCTGGCTGTGGTCGTGGGCGCCACCCACCTCGTCTACCTCCGTCTGCTCTTCTTCATCCACGACCGCCGTAAAATGAGGCCTGCGCGCCTCGTGCCGGCTGTCAGCCACGACTGGACCTTCCATGGGCCCGGCGCCACTGGCCAGGCAGCTGCCAACTGGACGGCTGGCTTTGGCCGCGGGCCCACGCCGCCAGCGCTCGTGGGCATCCGGCCCGCGGGGCCAGGCCGCGGAGCCCGCCGCCTCCTGGTCCTTGAGGAGTTCAAAACAGAGAAGAGGCTGTGCAAGATGTTCTACGCTGTCACGCTGCTCTTCGTGCTGCTCTGGGGCCCCTATGTGGTGGCCAGCTACCTGCGCGTGTTGGTGCAGCCTGGCGCCCTGCCGCAGGCCTACCTGACAGCCTCTGTGTGGCTGACCTTCGCTCAGGCTGGCATCAACCCCGTCGTGTGCTTCCTCTTCAACAGAGAGCTGCGGGACTGCTTCAGGGCACAGTTCCCCTGCTGCCAAAGCCCTCGGGCCAGCCAGGCCGCCCTGCCCTGCGACCTGAAAGGCATCGGTCTGTGAGACTCCTTGCCACTCCTCTCCCAGCCCAGCCTGGCCACTTGGACAGTGACGTCGTCTTGCTCCTTTCTGCCCCCTTTTTTTATTTTCTAAGCTGCCTTCGAAGTAACTCTCAAAGTGGATTGTCACTTGGATTGTTCACGCCATCCACGGAAGGGGCGATTTCTAACGCGTGTCCCCACCCCGCTCCGAGCTTTCTTTCTCAGTGATTTTTCCTTACAGCTATAGGTCCTGCGATCTTTTTGTACTTCTACTGATGTCTTTTATTCCATGTGTTACTTTTAAAAAATAAAATGGCAAGATTACTTTTCATCATGCGACGTTTCCTAGAGACCATGGCCAGTTTTCTACAGAAACTATTTTTGACAACCCCAAGTTGAATTACATTTTGCGGTGAAGAATCATACCTAGGGGTATGGGACCTCACAAGTTAAGAGTTCTTGGTGGTCTTCTGGTGAAAAGAGCAGGGGAATTGGGACTGTCTTAAGTTCCTTCTGAATCGCCTGCCATGGGGTCAGTTGTGCAGGGAGCTGAATGGTTCTTAAGAAGAGGCAAGAACTGTGTGCAAGGCTGAATTTGAACTTGAGCAGTCCTGGGGGTCAGCAGTATAGCAGTGAAAACGGCTTGTTTCCTACTGCTAGAAAATAGTATTAGCGACAACTGCTTTGATCAGCCTCTCTGTATTATACAATCTTGAATGGAAACATTTCTGTAAAATTGTAACTTTAAAAAGTAAGATTAAAAAGTGTTTTGGTTAGTAAAGGTGTGGAGAAAATGCAGTGTTGCATGCTTTTGTATGTACTGATTAAGGCTCAGATCTTTGAGGGCTCTGAGAATCAAGAGTATGAAATACAAATTGATATAGGTATTTTTTTGCCAATAAAAATTAAAACAATTTCATGGAAACTGCCTGTGCTTTGAGAAGCCAGTTTTCTTCTATATTATGAAACTCCTTTCTGTTTTGAAATTTGTTCTTCTGTTGTTGATGGTATAAAGAATGGAATATAATGATACCCTTTTTCAAGGAGATGTTACCTTAAACTGTTTGCTAGATTATGCTGTGCTATTCTACTGATGGTTATTTTAAATTATTGATGAGAATTATAATTTTAAGTGTTTCATTGTTAGACACATGTACTCTTAAATTGAAAAATGAAATTCTGCAAGTACTGTATATTTTTTTGCTTATAATTCTACATTTTTATTAATGTACCTTCCGTTTTGAGGATTTTTATCTGTAATTCTCTTTGCATTATACAAATTGAAATACACCAGTATTTTCATTCTGGAGTGGTGATGTTTTCGGCTTATTCATTTTTTTCATTTATTTTGGTACATGTTGTTTAGTTTCAGGATGGCAATCTTCTCCTGTGTGAAACCCAGCTGTAGGGTCAGCTATGGGTTGGTTCTGACTTCAGTGGTAAACAACAACAACGTTGATCATATGCATACACAAGACATTTGGGCTGTCTTACTTATTTTAATAGACATATACACTATTGTAAAACTTCTCTATAAAGAGATAAAACATGAATGTGAATAAAGTGATTATTTTGATAAAAATGACAACTTTAAAACATGCAATAAATGCATGAAATTTCTTTTTAGTTGGATATAATATAAACTCAAAAGGGATAACAGGTATAAAAGGGTTTACCTTTGGTAAATGGGAAGCCTTATTTTGTGTAGGTCAGTTATGTATCTAGGCAGATGGCCCCATATTTGGAAAACAGGTACAAATTCTGGGCAGAGGTGTGATCTCAAGAGAGCCCTCACTTATGCTTAGTCACTTTCAGGAATTAAAGACAAGGGCTAGAATGTATAGCTCACACAATCTAGCTCCCTACCTCCATGATCGAAGGTTAAAAAAGTAACCAAGTTTGGATGGTATTCTGGATATTTATCTCCTTGCAAGGCAAAAACTGTCCCCTTAGAGCAGTGTGGAGCACCAGGGACCAGCTGAGTGCTGACCTCACATGGTCCTGGATTATATGATTCCTTCCCCCTACCCCCAATAGGAGAACACATATGCTATTTATTCTTGAATTTCATTGTTCAGAAAAATTAAGCACTTGCAAGCCTAGGGGTTCATGTTAGGAATTAGAGGTAGGGCTCCAAACAAATCTCTTTCAGAAAACGTGCAGCCAGGAAGAGGGTAAGACTTTCTGTCATACATACTTAAGCATGCTATTAGCATAGGAAAGCCCTTTGACAAGAACGTCATGCTTGTTGGTCATGAAAATCATGTTTAGAGGGGTCAGCAAAGGAGAGGAAAGGGATTAAGTGTTAATAGATTGACAAAGTGTCTGGGACACTAGTCTTAAGCATAGTTAAAATGGAGCAAGAACTGTTGTATATGGGGGCTTTGATCTGTTGTACACTGGGTGGCTATAAGTCAGAGTGGATTCCATGGCACCTAACAACAAGAACAAAGTGAAATTCAGAAAAAGTATTTTTAACAAATTATCCAGAGAAACAAAGGCACACCTGCCTACATTCCTTCAGATGCAATTTACTTTCAACACATCCTTTCCTAACTTAATTACCTTTGATATTTTTTTATTTGGTGGGGAAAGCAAGATTTCTAGTGGGAATTGAGGTGAGAATAAGAACTGATAGCCACCTGGAAAAGAGAAAGATAAACCAAGAGAGGCAGAAAATATGCTGTGAAAGGAAAGAGGTGTGTGATCCTTCATGTTCCCTCAACCTTTACAAGATGTATTGACACAGTGATAGCAACAATGACCTTGAGGATGGGGGAGACTGAGAATGATACCACATAGGGCAGTGTTTCCTCTGTTTGCTCATGGGGGTGGCTATGAGTTGACTAGAGGACAACTAACAACAGTGAAATCCCTACAGCCTTTTGGACTGATGACTCTATTAACACATATTTAATTGCTAATCATTGTCACCAAAAATCGATGAAAGCTTACTTATGTCCAGAGTACCCTGTTCATTGTACCCAGACCAGGACAGAGAAAATTTATTTATGGATGATTTCCATTAAAATAGTTTAAAACTGTTCTTGTTTATCTGGAGGTGAATTTATTTAGTGCCACTTTTCTTCCCCTTTATCCCCCACGCAATTCAAGATGAGACAATTGCTCATTATTTGTGAAACAATAGAAAATATCAACATCAAGAAAACAAAAATTCTCACCACTGGGCCAATTGGCAGCATCAGTATGGATGAAGAGATTGAGATAGTTAACAGTTTTAGTTTACTTGGCCCCAAAGTCAACACTCTTTGTACCTGCAGCCAGGAAATCAAGAGATGAATTGCACTGGATAAGTCAGAGTACTGAAGAGAACGATGTCAGGCTGGAGACTAAGGTGAGCCTGACCCAGGCTACAGTCTTCACAATTGAGTGCTATGCATCGGAGAGTTGGACAGTGAATAGGGATAATGTAAGGAGAATTGATATCTTTGAGCTGTGGTGCTGCAGAAGAGTGTTAAATATACCATGGACTGCTAGGAGAACAAACAAGTCCTGGAGAGGGTGAAGCAGACTGCTCCTTGGAGTCAAGGATTCTCTTCGTCTGACATACTTTGGGCATGTTGCAAGGAGGGACTGGTCCTTGGAGAGGGACATCATGTTTTGGGAGAGTGGAGGGATGGCAAAGGAGAGGAGGACTCTCGATGAGATAGATCGATTATGTACTTGGATCAAGAGGCAGTAGTCAGAACAGAGCAGTGTAACACTGCATGGTTCCGTCTAACATACTTTGGACATGTTGTGAGGAGAGACCGGTCCTTGGACAGGGACGTCATGCTTGGGAGGGTGGAGGGACAGCGCAGGAGAGGAAGGCTCTCTATGAGGTGTTTCCACACTCAGTTGGGTCACCTTTCTTTGGAATGGGAACAAATATAGATCTCTTCCAGTCAGTTGGCCAAGTGGTTGTT